TTTTTTTTTCTTTTTTTCCGTGGTTTCTTTTTTTTTTTTTAATGGAATATGTATTATTAGTTTAAGAATCACCAGAACAAAAAAAAAAAATATCTAGTGTCACAAAAAAAAGTAAAAAAATAGATACCAATAAAAAAGCTCTATATATACATAAAAATTCATGGTTCAAAAACGAAATAATAAAACAAACTGACAATCTAAAAATTTTTAAATAAGGTCCAGTGACACAAACAACAATAATACATATATGTCTATCTATATATGTTTTAATACATGTACCAATAAAGCCGAAGTTAATAAATATTATACACAAGAAAGAAAATAAATAAAAAAGAATATATTTAAGCTTACTTTTAGGATTATTTTTATATATCACATATCTCTACTCATAAGACTGTAATCCAATAAGAACATATCCAAATCCTTCCAGCCTCCACCAACCCGAACCATGACTTTTTTACTTGAAGCATAGTTCATTAAACGACAAAGATAAATTTTCCTGTCACGTCCCCCTCCTTCACTCCCAAAATAATATTTATCGTTTCCAGCACGTTCTACTTTAACCGATAATGGAGAAGAGTTTACTACCTTAGCAACTTCAATATCAAGTGGATCATTTTTAAGTGGCGTATATTGTGGAGAATGATAATCAATCGCCATTTTTGACAATGAATCAGTTAACGGAGTCATTGGACGCTCATCACCTTCAGGAGTTATAGGTCTTGATAAACTGCTTGTGACTGAAGAAGGAGTTGGTGATCTCAACGGTTGACGTTTTGGAGGTGGAGAAACCATGCTTAAACGTGATAAAGAAGCGGTCATGCCAGGTTGCGGAGTGCTTGCTTGAGGGAGGAAAGACCTCATTCCTGCACGCGAAGTCGACCTAGAAGCTAAACCCATACTAGTAACAGGACGTGGAATAGCTGATGGATGCATGCGATCGCCAGGTGTCATTGGTCTACCCGTTGTAGGAGAACGTATAGGTGATTCGGATCTCGTGGAAGATTTTGATCGTCCATTTCTCGGTTGGGGAGATGATGCACGTTCACGATAATAAGGATTACCATGATCATTATTATTGTATGAAGGACCATAAGGTCCATAATGTGAATTATAAGGCGAATGATTATATTGTGAACTCCAAGGATTTCGATCTGATAGTGGCGGGGGACTTACAGACCTACCATTTGGAGCTAGATAAGAACGACCCCCTCCCGGACTTGTAGCTCGTGGTGAAGGAGATTTTGAACGTAAAGGAGATCCTGTATTATTTCTTGGTGGAGATAATGAACGTTCATATTCAGATGGTGACATTACCCTTCTGTATGGCGATAGTGCTCTTTGACCTTTCGGAGGCGAACTAGATTCTGGCGTATATTTTTCTCTAGAAGGTTTCATATTGGGAGACATTGGAGGTGAAGAAGCAATTGAAGAAGGTATTGAAGATGGAGGGGAGCTATTTGAAAAAAGTGAAGCATCTAGTACAGATTCTAATGAAGGCATTTCCTTTTGAACTTCAGAAACACCGTCAAGAATAACATCCCAACGTTCTTTCATCGCTTTATATTTTTTAATTGCATCCCAATCTCTTGTCTTCTGATTATTAATCCCATCAGCAAGCATCCTAAGCATTTTAGTTACAGTTGGGATATAATATTTTCTTTTAGCATCAAAACTTTTATAAAGTCTTTGGAAATTTTTAGGAGTTATAGTTATGGATTGTTGTTGTGGTTGCTGTTGTTGATATTGTGAATCTCTCGAATAAGATTTTTGATTGTGTTTTGTTTGTTGAAATAGTTTTAAAGGTGAATCGGATCTACTAGAAGCTCTAGTGATAAAGTCCTTACATTGTTTAACGGCTCTTTCAAGTGAATCCATCATTTGAGTAGCGTTACTGGTTACCTGTTTAAAAACTCCTAACCATTTGTCTTCTTTACATTCTTCTCTCAAAGAATCCATTTCATGTTTTAATGCTTCCCATTTATTGGTTAAAATATTATTCTTTTTCAATAATACTCCATTAGGATCTGATGGTGCATTCGGTGCTGATAAACGAGATCTTAAATACTCTATACGTGCTGATAATGGTTCTAAACGAGAATCAAGTTTCATTAATGCAACATCAGCACGCGAGCTAAACTCGTTATGAGAATTGTTATTAAAATTTGACGACGAAGCAGGTGTCATAGACATATTTCGTGTAGTTGGACTGGAACTAAGTTTTGGAAATGGAAATTCACCGTCAGTTAAACCGCTATGACGTTGTTCCTGGTATTCGAAAATACTAGTATTTAATTCTTCTATCGAAGCTAAAATCTGATCCATTGTTTCCATTAGTTCACGTCTTTGTTTTGACTCGGACATTTCTTTCTTAACCCTTCCGAAAAAAGTTTTTACATCAACCCAATCAGTTTGAATTCTATCAAGTGTATCCTTAACGTCTTTACATCTTTCTTCATCAGTTGGTTGCTTCAGGTTGTCGAGTACTGTCTGTGATAATTCTTGAAGTAAGTCAACATTTGGAGCAAATTTATGTATTAAGACGTCCATTTCACTAACGTTTTTTACACTCATTCCTTCCTTTACATCAAGCTCTAAAGCAAATATAGCAACATTAGCATATTCAAGCCAAAGGTCAATCTTTTTAGCTGCAGCATGGAAAGTATCTATTAGGTTTGATACAGGTAAGTCAGTTGATAGTGCGAGATAAATGTTTTCATTTGGTACTTCTAGTTGGTAAAGAGTTTGTACATGGTGGGCAAAAGACTGCATATCAGTAGTTGAACCGAGCCGCTCAGCGGAAGGTAGAAAGTTTTGTCGAATTGAGAGTGGTTCTGGCATATGGGACATTGAATATGTTCTTTGCCCAAAGAACCCAAATGTTTTTTGGGGGAAATTTTGGACTTTATTTTCGTTGTGTTGTACGAAAAATTGAAGCACAAAAGGCGTGTACCATATATATTTATATGTGTAATTTATAAAATACATTTGTATTTGGCACCTGTAAAATATTACTAAATTTACTTATTGTATATTATTATAAACAAATTGAAACGAGAAGCTACACAAAACCTTGAATTACCCAATAGAACTGTTGATATCTGTGTTTGCCTATGACTGTCAAAACTTGTTGCTTGACTTTATAATAAAATTCAAATATGTCAAACTTCCAATGTTCACAATTTGTTATATTAGGATTAGATGACGTAAAGTACACCATTAAAACTTACTCAAAATAGAAACGAATGCAAAGGTCAAAAAATGACGGGTAAATATTAGCTTGTCAGATGATCGACTCATAAATAATAATATAAAAAGTCTTTTTATTTATAAATAAATAGCTAAATATAAATTTTTTTTTTCTCTACCACAAATCAACTTTCGTTTCAAATGATTTATTTTCCCTTGTCTCCCAATAACCACCTTTATAAACCCATTCTCCATTTTCAAATTTAAACCATTGTGGTTCCCAGGATTTACCTTCTTTTTCTAAATATTTACGAAAGTCACGTTGTTTTTGTTCAACACGAAGTTTTTCAGCTTCAGCTTTCTCCAAATGACCTTCTTCAAATAATCTTTGATCTGATCTAAATCTTGTATCTGTATTTGGCAATACATCAACTAAATCTGGTGTTAACTCATTTAATTCAACTGCAAACTGCGAAAATCCATAATATTGCTCATGTTCTGGTATTGGAGGATTGGCTTTCCAAATAACTTCTAATTGATTTTGTCCTATTTCATGAAATATTATTTCAGTCCATCTTCCTACTATCTTTCCACACTTGCCTCCTTTAGCATTGTATAATGCTCCTACAATCTCACTTTTCGGTCCGCTGCTCCATAATCCACTTTGATTAAATGTTACATCACATGCTTCTCCTGTTGTTTGATTTTGAATTTTCATCACTCCAGTATGTTCCAAATATTTTGTGCCAGATATCATATTACGCATCCATGTAGTAGTTTTTGAAAATGTAAAATGGTCGTTATATTTTGGAATAGTAACATGTATTGTGCCTGATGGAATAATTTCCTAGAATAAAATATTTTTTAGATACAATTTTAATGGAAGGAGTTTAATTATAAATTAATCTCACCATTGATTTACCCCAAAATTTTGTTTTAGCTTTTGTATCTTGCCAAAATTGCCAATTTGATGACTCCGCATGACAAGCCATTATAGGTGGATAGTGGCTAACTTTTTCAGATATGAACTTAAAACCTTTGTCTGGCCGAACTAATTCAAAAGTTTCCCCATGAAGGGGGTTAAAAGGTTTTCGAAGTGCTCTATATTGAGTAAATGCATATCCTGAAACTGCAAATGCTGATACATAAATCAATCTAGTAATAGAATCATCAAAAGTAGCTGCCTTATCTAACAAATCACTATATTCCAGCTCTTCTGCCATTCTTTGTAAGGCATTAAGAGGTTCGTTAAGAGATATCGGCATAGCTATCGTTGATAAATCTTTACCAACATTTTTTCGAAGAATAGACAATAGACTAACATCCTCACCGCATACTGGAGATGGTAAACATTTTCTCCTTCGAATTATCGTCGATCTGTTAATGTTAGATTTGTCATCAATATTATCATCATCAATAGATTTCTCTTCAGTCGTCTCTTCTGTAATTGAACCATCAGTAACTGCTTCATCTTCAGTTTCATCCTCAATAATCTCATTATCACTATCAGTCGTATCTTTCAATTCAATATCTTCAGCATCAAAGAATACTTCAGCAGAACCCGTGTTTACTGTGCTAAATGATCCAGCTCGATTATTCCTTATTTCTCCTATATCTTCAGTACTAGATTTTTCAGATAATAACACTTCTTGTTGCATTTGTTCAGGGACATCTGTAAGTTGCCTGTCAGATAAAATCTTTCGTAACTCTGCGTGCTCAACTACAAGTTTACGATATGCATTATCAAGTTGTTTCCATCTTTCAATCTCGCCCCGTAAGAATTCAAAAGCTTGCTCTTTATCCGTTTTCAAAGTTGAAAATGTGGTATATAACTTTTCATAAATTTGATCCAGTGACATTGGAATTGAAGTTTGTGATGATGATGATTGTTCTAATGTAGTTGAACCTATAAATTAAAAAATATATAAATAAACATATAGATATCAATATAAAATACAAAATTAAAAAAAAAATTATATCTTTAATTACCTCGCTGTAACGAAAGAGGGAATTTTTTTAATCGGAATTTCCCTTCGACATTTGGACTTTGGCGTCCTGGAGAGGTTATATTTTCGACAGAATTTTTAAAATAATCTAATATTTCTTTTATGTCCTTGAACCCATTATCCATACTATTAAATATGCCATATATTTTTCCAAGATCTTCGTCCAATTTATTATTTAGTCGGAAAAAACTTTGTGGATCTCTATGAAGGCTATTCCTTCTATCTAATAATAAACTTTGACGTTTAATATACATGCTTTGCCTCCTTTCAAAATCCGTGGACTGGCGAGGAGATGTCATTTTCGGATATTCTGGATCATTAAGCTGCAGTTCTTTTGATATGTTCACATATTTACGAATGATTTTCATCCATCCATCAAAATCTTCATTTGTAAGTGCTTTCAAATGATAGGTAGCAGTTCCAGAATCCAAATTGATTGAGCAAAAATTTGCATTAGAAGATACTGCAGAAAGTGCAATATATATCGTTCCACGGCAAGGTCCGTGAGGATGTGCATAATATGACAACACTCCATTGTCTATTTGTACCCAGCGTTTTGCCCATCCTATTTAAAAATATAAAAAAAATGAATTTTTTTTTTTTTTATTATTTTTTCCTGTAAAATAACTTTAAAGGATACTTAATTTTCACCTTGCATTTTTTTCCTCTTTTTTTTCAGCATCCATCCACTAATTTCTGGCTGAGATTCTTCTTGTCGATTTTCTGCTCCTGTTTATAATTGATAATATAGTTTCTAAAATATTACTTAACTGATTCGTCGTCTATAAATAATCTCCAAATTTTCTAATTCCTTATTTATAATACTTGCCATCTTTTAAAGCTACAAAAAAAGTCAACGCCTTTGAAGTATTACGTGAAAACGAGTTATCTTTTTTAAATGAAAAATAAAATAAAACTAAATTTAATAAATCAATAATAATATTTTCCAATTAAAACATAATTTAAAACAAAATATCTTACCGAAACATAAACAGTAAGTCCCTTCTTCTTGCACTAGATAACTACCTTTAATTGTAGTAGATGCTGAATTATAATGTTCAATTGGTAAGATTTCCTTCAAATCAGGATCATTAATAATTTGAGCAGACACTGACTTTTTGCGTCCGCGATTGAAGACAGGACTAGTGGGTTGAAGGGATTGAGCAGAGGTTGAATCATTCAGCGTAGCACCTAATTCCGTATTGTTTTCTCCAGATGCTTCTTCATTATCGTCAGTATCATTTGTATCAATAGAAGTTCTGCTGACCCCACTTGCAACGCTATGTAAACTCGTTCTAGATTTAGTTGTTGATAGAGCGGGTGTATTATTTTGTCTTATTGAAACGGGCGATAAATGCCCACTCTCCATGGGCGTAAGAACTTCTGTAGCTGAGTTTGTTGTAGATGCAGCTATGAAAACATTTCTTGCTGAAACAGCTGGTCCTTTTCTCTGATATAAGCCAAACGAAATGTTTTTCTTTTTTGTGGAAAACCACCATAATATAGTTTGCCCTTTTTTGACGTTAATATAGTGAGTAAAAACGTCTCTGGGTGCAACCTCAATTTCTTGCATATTTAAAGGTGAAAGTAAAGTCTTAAGTTTTAAAAGTAAGTCGGAGAAGCAGAGTTTATCATAATTAATGTAATCTGTGATACTCGACTACTCGAGTTGTTTACTGATCGGATGCACAACGTGGAAAGAAAACGTGTTCTGTATTCCCAATGTGGAATACTAACTGAACTAACAATTAATTTGAATGTAACCATAATTTATTCGCAATTTTTTTTTTCCGCCGCAGATATGTTAAAGGAAAAATTTTTATACTTTCCTTTCCTTGCATAACGATTATATTTTTCTTTGATGTTTACCACCAACCACCCTCGTTGATTCTTTGAAAAAAAAAGTAAAAAAAAAAATATCAAAGAAAAAGACTAACTTTGCAACATTTTAAAAAGATAAAGGTAGTGTGACACAGCTAATGTGAACAGGTCTCTCATGCAGAACAATTCCACGCAAGACTTTTCTGATGAGGGTCATTGTCTGTAGGTTTAGTATATTCCTTTATCAGTTCTTTTCATTATTCAGTAAACGCTAAAGTTATTTGATTTTTTTTGAATTACAGTTTTCACCTTCACATAAAAAACTGTGGTGACGATGTATTTTATAATGTGATTTATTATGTTTCAATCATTCTTGCTGCCATGTTGGCTATTACCGCGGGCGGTCTGTGGTTAAAAAGACGATTTTATATCAAGTCATCACAAAAAGTCGCGTTTCTAGATGGGTATTTGTTATGGCAAACATTGCACGCATCAAGTAAGTTAATTTTGTTGATCCAAAAGTTCGATAATATGTTAGTTAATCTTATTAAGATAAATTTCTTAATTCGTTTTAAGTTCGAATCATCAATAATATAATTATACTTAGCAATCTTATTGAAAGAGAATATATGATTTTGGAACTTTTATATGACATACCGTTTTACTGTGATCAGGTTTCAGTGATATTATTTATTATTGGAATGTAAGTGTCCTTTATCGTATAATGTTTTCTTTTTTTAAACGAAAAATTAATAAAAAATATAAATTAATTTTTATTTTTCTCACAAATCAAGTTTACTTGCTATTCCTCATTCAAATCACTTTCCAGCAACTCCTAGCTCACAAAGATCATTTCAGATTTTCATACCATCTCATAATAGTATAATATGGTTCTTCCGAATATTCTCTTTCCTAATCTTTCCGTCTCTTGCCATCTTTGCTTTACTCACAGGATATTTTCATTCAATATTGAAAGTGAGGCCGCCTAATGAGGAGCCTCATTTAGTCCATCTTGAAACACAAATGATTCGTGCGCACTATATAGTTTATGCTATCAGTTGGATTTCAATAGCAATTTGTTTTGCATACTTTGGTAGAAAAATGAAAAGGTTTGCGGAAAGTAGCATTGGACTATTAATGGATATTGAAATGGACTCTACAAAGTACGGTCGTCTTAGGTTAATGAGAAGGTCTATAACAAGGGTACGTGATTATCGCATATTTGGTTTATTTTCCTATTCATATTAATTTTTGTTATTACAATACTTAATTTTCGGTAATTAGATGAATATTGTAAATGGTTTTTTATGTGCTAAATATTTGCTATTTGCCATCGGTGCAACAATTGCTGCGTTTCAGCTTGAATCATTGTTTTCTATTGATTGGATTTCTAAATTAGCTGCTGTTTTGGTCACAACATTACCTCTTGCTTCAATGATTTTATGTACATTGTTAATTCTATATGGGTAATTTTATTTTTGTTTATTACGTAAATACTGTTTTTCTTTAAATCAATTAATTTTCTTAAAAAAATTCTAGAGACACAAATCCCGAAAAGGCTTTTGACGCACATTTTTCACAGATGTCGCATTCACAGCATACCTTTTCAACATGGGATTGTACGATGGATTCACCTAATCAGCATGACAAAAATGAATTTAGTCTTTTACCACCTCCACCCTCGTATAAAGACGATAATGCAAGTCAACAATATGATCTTGTTCAAGAAATTGAACATAAACAACATAATGCGAATCGTCATAGTAATTCTACAACAATATCCATAAATCATCCATCACATACTCAAAATTCAGTTACAATATTACCAGACATTATAATATCATCACCTCCGGAAATAACAGTTGTTGAAAAGAGTGCTAATCGTGTTATTGGAAAATCCAAGTTTGTAGCTGCTTGGATATTGGATCAATGTGAAAGAACCTCTACAAAAGAATTGCCAAAAGAATCGTCATCATAATTTTTTGAGGATAACAACTAATTGTTATTTGGAATTGGATTTTCTCCCATTATCTCCTACAAATTTATTTCGACTTTTTTTTAGGACTTCCATTGTATTTTATCCGTATTATTGTTTATTTACTTATTTATTTATTTTATAAAGAAAAACAAAAATAGAAGAATTTATAGAATGCAGGAATTACTATATTTGAAAATAGGTGAAATACATATTTACCAATTCTTTCTTTTTAAACTTATTGTACGTAAATCAATTAGTGGTTATAGAATATAGAACAAAATTGTAATTCCTAATTACTGTAATTTCTTTGATTAATTTAATTGAAATTTGAGAAATTAGTTTTTGTAAAACTATTTGAAAATTAACCGTACTTAGTACTATTCTGTGGTATCACCTGTACCCCCTCCGCGTTTCCATTTTTATCGAGTGTTTTTTTAAAAAATAATTTGTCACATATTATTCGTTACATCTACTTTCACGTGTTAGTGCATAGTTACAGGTCCTAAGAAACGGTTTCTTATCGGGTTAACCCGGATTGGTTAACGGGTCGATTACTGGTCGATAATGGTTGATTAACGGGTAGTTTCGGACGTCTCAATTTCAATAACGATTTATGACTCGATATAACGCGGATTCATATGAACATTGTGAAAATATCTTTATGTAGTTTGAAAACAATGACACATAGTGTCACGTGAAAAGAAATTATATATATACCGCACTTCGCACCAATAGTATTTCGCAATAAACAGTAATAAAACCCGAATATAGGGCACGGCTAAAGCGGAGCTAATGTGGCTCAAAAAATTTTCCAGATTCCTCCGATATGGCACATGCAGTAAAATATTTTCCTGTGGCGCCCAGCCGGCACAGCGTTGAGCCATGGCTGAGCTTGGGAGGTCCTTTGTGGATGTGGCAAGTGCTGCCACAAGCCTCACTGTCACGAAGGACTGGCCCTGCTACGCCACAGTGATACTGCTGTGATGAGCTGGGCCACTGTGGGAAAATATTTTCCTGGTATATGCCATTAGAAGAATCCAGTACAAAATTTTTTGAGCCACTGCAGGTCTGCAGCCCTGCCCTGCTTTAGCTGTGCCCTAAATATGATAATCACGTTAATCTGTCTCGTCAAAGGAAATACACTCGCGAACGCTTTTCCTGTCCATATAGATGGGAATACTCTGGTTGGTGACTTCAAGAAGGTTATAAAGGTGGAAAAGGCACCACATTTTAATGATATTGTTGCTAATGAACTCAGGCTATAGAAGGTGGAAATTTGTGGCGATCACCTTGATGATCAGTTGAAGAATCCCAAACTCGAAGAGTTGTCCATAATAAAAAAGATTTTGAAGTACTTTCCTGACTCAATAGCAGAGGAACATATTCATATCCTAGTTGAGCCACCTGCTTCGACCTTCACTTCAAGTCACGAATAGCCGAATAGACATTACTCAGTATGTATAATCTCAAAAGCTACTATATATGGAATGTTATAAAGAACAGGAAGGACAATAGCAACAATGGCTATTTAATGAAATTATGGAAAGTTGAACTTGAAACACTTGCAAGTTCTTATACCAAGTTGATTGTTTCATTACAAAGTTCAGCGATCTAATATGCCTCACATATCTTTACTTCAAAATTTTTCAAATTACTATTACATTTTTTACATTTTTCTACTGGTTTTGTTTTTTCTCAATTATCCCAATTTCCATTTCCCTATTCATTATTTACTGGTAAAAAAAAAGTGAAAAGTTTTTGTAGAGTTTAAAAATTTAATAAGAATTTTTTTTTTAAAAAAAAAGAGTGAAAAGTTTTTGTAGAGTTTAAAAATTTAATAAGAATTTTTTTTTAAAAAAAAGAGAGGAGTTTTTGTAGAGTTTAAGAATTTTTTTTTTAAAAAAAAAAAAGTATGGAAATTTAATAAAAATTTTTTTTGATACTCTATATTTAATGTTTAAAAATTTTAGTATTCATAACCTTTGGCTTTATAATCAATAATAATATGAAACAAATAATCAATTAAGAACTTTAAAATTTTAAAATTTACTGTAAGAACTACCTTAAAGATATATTTCACAAAGAAAATGAATGATTCAAACAATAATTTTAGGAATTTATGTCTATCATTATTTGAAATGTGGTTTCATGTGATTTATATTTTATGTTTCAGAATGTCATCATAAATTAAACTATTAAAAAAAATTTGTCATAATTTATCATAATTATTTAACCAAAAATGTAATTGAATATAATAAAATTGATACTTAATTAGGTTTTTACAGCTTGGACTAAAATTAAGAAATTAATTTAGTATACTAATAATTTTGTAACTTCAATAACTAAAGTTGTACTAATATAGTAATTCATCTTTAAAAATATGAAACAATTGAAACATGATTAATTAAATTATATTCTAAAGAAACTATGCATAATACAAAAATTATTTTATATACTAATTATGATTAATTAAATCATAATGACATAAGATTTATTCCCATAACGTTATATTTTAAATAATATAATTATTTACATGGTTTGTCATTAGGCAAAAGAAATATTATAAAAGGAGATAATATCTTTGATCCAAAAAAAAAACTCTACTCATTAAATTTCTAAACTCTACAAAAACTCTTTACTCTTTTTTTTTTTAAAAAAATTCTTATTAAATTTCTAAACTTTACAAAAACTCTTCACTCTTTTTTTTTAAATTAAAAAATATATACAGTATATATAAAAAAAAAAAAATTTATATAAATAATTATACATTTTTTCTATAGTTTTTTCTTCTTACATTATTTTTTTTCTATTTTTGTCATCATTTTTTTTTATAAGATTTTCAATATTTTTTTTTTCTTAAATCATGCCACCAAAAAAGAAAATTGGTAAAGTGCTTTTATGATATCAATTGTAAATTTGCAAATATAAAAATATTTACTACCTAATAAATTCTTTTTCATTAGATTTAAAAAATTTGGACCTTACCCATATTTACATCCTAGAGGAAATTGAATACATTAATGAACCACAATCTCCAATTGCTATTAAGGCTGTTGTACATGAAATTTCTAGACAACTTGGTAACTGGAATATTAAAACTGGTCAAAATGGTATTGTTACTACATCTCAAAGAGGTTATAATTTTAGTGTTAGTGACCAGAAGAAGATTCGAGCACCACATATTGCTTTTATACCTGAAAATATTTATAATTCGCTTAATAAAGCCCAACTTTTGACTTTTCTTAGCCAACCTTTTACTCCTATATTTGTTGCTGAAGTTGTAAATGTTTCAAAGGAAGCAATATTTAATGAAGTTAATAATAGATTCAAGAATGATTACTTTGCAACAGGTACTTCTGTAAAGTTGGGATGGTTAATTGATCCAAGGAATCACATAATTTGGACTTATGAAAAAGATGACGATGATGAAAATGTTACTTGTCAAAAACGTAAATGGGAAGATTTAGACGGTGGTAATATTTTATTAGATTTTACTTTGGATATAAAATTTGTTGAAAAAATTATCTCGCATAAACGAAACCATAATTTACTATATACACCAAGACAAAGTATGTATATGTTTGCATTGTTTTCATATTAACCTATCCTAATATCTCACTCTTTTATAGGAGGCATAGGTGGAACTATGTTCTTGACAACTGAAGGAGATGGAGCTAACAGTTATGAAGGAATCGATCTCAGCAGTCCTGATATTTGCAAACGTGAGCAGACAATCCACAAACTTGTAAAGAAGATTGAAAAAACACGTTTTTTACTCATTCGGTCTCCACCTATGTTTGGGAAGACCTCATTAGCCCAACTATTAGATCAACATCTAGTTAAAGATTCTAGCATACGAGTTATTCGCATCTCCATCTTATGGATGGGCAATCCTAGTGGATCCTGGACATTTGAGAGTGGGTTTCAAAGACTTATGGGCATAACTTGGGAAAAATTTCAAGAAGAGTGTGACTACATTAAGACTATATTTATTGTTGATGAAGTTCAGGTATGAAGTTTATCTTTTTATTTTGAATTAATATAGATTCTGACATTTCTGGATGTTAGATGCTTTATGTGCCCCAAGGTGAACCTAAGACTGCTTCGCGTCATAATGGTAATGTCTTTTGGGAAACGATCAAGCGGTGCCAACAGATCGGTAACTTACATATTGTTGCTTTTGCCGCATATGGTTACAAGGGTGCATGGAATCTTACATCTGCAACTCACACAATGGATGTGTCACCTTTTGCGATTCCTAGTGAGAACACGTGGGGTATAGAAAATGTGCGCTTCACTAAGGATGAATATGAAGATTACTTTTTACGCTTTTGCAGAAAATATCTCAAAAAAATTGAAGATGAAAATGATATTAGATACTTACAGGAGTACGTGCACAATACAACAGCTCGTCATCCTGGACTTGTCGTATTTTTTATGAATCATATTAAGGATCATTTCTCTTTCCAACTGAAATATGATGATAAGTTGACATTTGGAAAGATTTTTTTGTACTTAAAATCATATAGATTTATGAGAACAGTAGATGAGGCAAGTGTTTTAATTTCATTTTGCATTAAGAAAAAGAATTATATTATTGTATTTATTAATCCTGTTTTTGCAGGGCTTTCGTGGGTATTTACTTATGTATAATTTTACTCCAGAGGAAATAGAACTTTGTGATAGGGTATTCCAAGGACCCATTGATATCAGACCCTATACCAGTCAGTTATATAATACATCCAGTAACACATCAGAAGACAAGAAGAGGCTAGTTATGACAAACATACTTAGTGAACAAGATGGTAAACTTGATTTTGCTTCACCCTACTTGCGCACGCTCTATCTGCAGCGACGTTGGGAAAGCACCACTAGGTCAACAAATCCTCCTAAAGATTTCAAAAGCTTTCTCCACGGAATTTTCACCAATATGAATGCTGAGGCTATACAAAATTCGTATTGTATTAGTACAGACTATCAGCTTTTAGAGCACACTTGGCAAATGGAATTTTATCGGGCTGCTACTCAAGTTCTACCTGTTGACATATTCATTTCTCCTGATGTTGGAACATACTGGGGGTCAAGTGGATATGTGGATTTTTTTGTGGATGATAATCGGAGTTGGACAATCAAGTTACTATGGAATAGTGAAAATACATCTAACCATAAAAGTTGCTTCAATGATATCTATAAACCTATCAAGGATGTCAGCAAAGAATGGGCTATCATTAACATTCAACATCCTGATCTTTCTAATGATAATCCAGAGTACAGTGCTAATAGTCATTGGATAAATATATATTGCCAAAAGAATTGGAAGTCTGTGATCATTGAAGATGAGGATGGGAGAGTTGAAGTTAAGCTCATGGGAGAGTATTCATAGAAAGAGATCAAAGGAAACACAAACATATGTTACAATTAAAACCCTACTTCCTCAAAAATTTGTAGGCTAAGCTTTACTACTTTATTTCTAATTGTATTGGTTGCTTTGGCAACGCTTTATTTCATAAATAATAAAGAATCGATGTATTCATTTTTCGCTCTATAAAATCACTCGAAAACACACATGTTTAAAAAATCAAAGTAAAGTTTTTTTATTTTCCATAAAGTAATATTATAAGAAAGAAACCAGTTGCTATGCAAAACGAAAGAATAAAATGGATTTTGGATTCTAATTTAATGCTTATTTGTTAGTTATAGGTATATTTGTATAAATTAAGAATTAAATGCTATATTTAACTGTTAATAATTTAATAATATTGGAATGCATTTTCTTGTTCAACTCATGTGATTTTAAAATTTATATCTTGTAAAAATTATTGGTTTTTGATAATTTTCATGTAATAATCTAATAACTAATCTAAAGGCAATTTCTTTATTTCATCAATGCATTTTATTCTATCTAATACTATACATTTAAGTTGGTATAACAAAATAAAATATTTTGTTGTTCCATTTGGTTGTGAATTTCAAGAAGCTTTTGTATAATTTGAAGGGTTAATATTGTTTATATATATTATGATATAAATATAATAATACTACTTATAACAAATTATTATTATCTATTAAATATAACAAGTAATTTAAATAAATTAAACAATCTTTGCAAGAAATCAGTATATATATTAATAGATGTAATCCTTTATAAAAAGGATTGTTAATAAATATTAAAATACTTGTGAATTCAGAATAAATAAATTTTCCTCCTCTTTTTTTATCCATTTCAACAATGTATGGGAGGAATTAGTCAATGCCGACTTAGATATTAATGGACCAAATGCGGCATATAATTCAAATGTTGAGGTTATCTTTAATTAAAGTTATATATGTTATAAAATTAATAATATATTATGAATAAAAAAGCAAGGACAAATTAATAACACAACATACCCATCCTAATATAGTTTCTGTTGGACTCACATAATAATGTACCTTAAGTGGTCGAATACGTGAATGCATGCGATCATGTGTGTATCTGTATAATTTAAACAATCTAAATAATAAATAGAAATAGAAAATTAATTTAATATACATATATAAATGAAAAAAAAAATTTCGTACTTTTGTTTCTCATGAGGATCATTATATGGTGCCATAAACGTAGGTGATGTATATTGTACATGCTTCCTTGATTTATATATAAAATGACGTAAACCTGCTGCACCAACATCTGCTGTTAATAATAATAAAGTATGATATATTAGAAAATTACCAAATATATACAATATACAAAATTAGTTTAGGTAGTAAGCACACACCTATAGAATAACCTTCACTCTGTGACACTTCCTCTATCGCTTGTAATGCATTACAACTAGTGAGTTCCTAAAATAACAGATATATATGAATATGAACCCTTTACAAAGTTTTAAAAGGACGAGAAATTTTAAGCTTACCTCAACTATTATACTTTTAGCATCAGATAACTCAAAAAATTTGTCTTTATCTGGAGAAATCAAGAGCAAACATACATTCCCAGTAATGTAGCATACATAAGCGTGGAGGAACCCTTTGTTGTTGAATTTTGGAAGACATATTGGAGTCCATGATTCAGCTGACCGAAAAGTCGAAGAACCATTTACCATATTAAAAATTAAGTGAAGATCTTTACAGAAAGAAATATTAGTATAAAAGATATATTGATTGATAAATTCATATATTCAACCTTTTACCTGCTGAATGAAGACTATGTCTTTTAGGTCTTAGCAATGTTATTAATTTATTATTGGCTATTAGCATAGCATATAAAAGATCCTATAATAAAATGAGTCAATAATAGCAAATTATTAATAAACGCAAACTATTACATACTACCTTCGACTTTACTATCTGCAAAATACTTCCAATTTTGTCTCGTAATTCTTTATTCATCCTAACACACTGAATTGAGCCCAACATGAATCCTGGTTCATCGCTCATAGAAGTTGCAAGGTTATCCAAAAATGGTTCAGTGCCTATAAAGAAATTCTATATCAATACATTAACAATAAACAACAAATCTAAGATTAATATAAATAATCAACCTCCAAGTAGAAGGCGCAAATCATAATTAATCCGTTGTTCAAAAATTCTTGTTAATTGAGTGGACGTTAAAACACTTAAAATTTGGTTATATAAATAATTCAATTGATCTCTGAGCTGTAAAAAAAAAAAAAAAAAATATTATTCATTTCACTATATCAAGGTTCCAAATAGATATAACGAACATTACTTGTTTAATACCTGAGTTTCTGATTCATTCGTCCGTGATACAGCTACAAGATACAATGGGCCCTTAAGTAAAAATACAAATTTGTGATTTCCCGCGTTGATACATCTATCTCAAAATTATAACGTTAATAACTAATGATTAATGTTTTACATAAAAAACTACTGATTTTTTTTTAGATAAACCTTATAGAATCTTCAGCATCAACAAAAAAAGAAACAATAGCCTGAATCACACCCGTATAACCTGATATCCGTGATTCATCTCCATAACTATTCAGGAAAATAATATAAAATTATTAAAATTATTAAACTTTTAAATACAATAAATACAATAAATATGGCTAATTATCTAAATCATACCGAGTATAGATTGGCTTGCCGGCACTACTAAGTATAAAAAAATGTTTTCGATGTCGACACCAATTAACAGATTGTGGATCTAATATTAAAATTGAAAATTTCAGTTGTCTAATTTGTATTTCCTCATTATTGCTTGTTATTATTTCTTTTTTTAATAAAAGTTAAGATGAAAACACCTTCAACCTTCATGTCCATACTTGCGACGATATCCCGAATATTCTTCATCTACCGAAATAACTGGCACATTCGAATGATCATTACTCATCGTATGGCTTCCGATCCATTCTATAGAACTGTCTGAGTCTAGGAGTTAAAAAAAAAATTGTTGACAATAAGTGACTGTTGTATGATAAATTTTTATAAATAAAGTGTAATAGTACATACATACCTACGCTTCCTGCAACTTCACACTCTGAGCCAATATTTTCTGGTTCACTATAAATCGTTCGCTTTTGACTATTAATGAACCCTTTACTACTTCTGAAAGCCGAAAGATACTTATCATTTGAGGTAACTGAGTTAGATCTATTCATAAGCCCTATAAGTAAATCGTCTACAGAACCTTCCTTTGATCGAGTCTCTCCATTAATATTATCTTCTATTTTACTTGAAATTGCGTTGAAACTTTTTACCGAAGAATCAGCAGAAGAGGAGCTGCATGCTGTCGAAGAAACTTCTAAAGAAAGTTGTGTAGTAGGTTTTGCTTTATATTTACGAGGCTGTAACGTGGGCGAAAGTGATTCATCTGAAGTGAGAATACTATTAGAGTCCGAAAGAAGATCTTCCATAATCGGTGACATTGGTGATAAAGCTGGACTCTTGGGTGAGGAAAACATTGCAGTTTATTTTAGTAAATTATGTCAGTTTAATTTAGTAGGTAATTTAAATCCCTGCAGGACAATCTGTACGACAGCTAGTATGTCACATGCTCAGCGTGTGACCCTCGCCTAGTATAAACACATTTACTCTCTCGAATTTATAATAAATTGCGATTAATATGGACAGCCAGTCTTTTGAAAAAGTCAAGTATGTTTATAACAGGTTCCTTTTCTTGGCTTCTTTACTCAGGAGAATAAACTAAACTTGTTATTTTTCAGAGAAAAATGGGACGTCATTTTTAAAGACCCGTTGCTTTCACTAACATCATTGCGAGAAAAAGGTGTTGAGGGAAATATTTGCTCGAAAGGATTAAGATCCGTCTGTTGGAAGGTACCTCTCATTGTTTTTACATGAAACCAACAACTATTTGACATCTCGAAAAACTTTATAGTTATACTTGGCGTACCTGCCGGGTTTAGACTCTGCAACATGGCCTCTGGCTCTTCATAAAGAACGACAACATTACGCGGATCTTCGACAAAAATATATTACTAGTCCTGACAATGATAATAATAACGCAAACGATTTAAATATAAATAACCCATTATCTTTAGACCAAGCGGTATGTTATTATCAATTTATCAATGAAAGTATGAGTCATGTTTGAATGATATTAATCATATTAATCATTTTAAAAATAATAGAATCCATGGCAAGAATATTTTAAAGATACGGAATTAAGAAAAATCATACGCCAAGATGTTGAACGAACGTTGGTAGAATATATGATGCGATTTAGATTATATTTTATATTATTAATTTAATAATGAATTTTTAGGTTTCCAGATAATGAATATTTCCGCACTCCTTTAAGCCAAAATCGATTACTGGATATTCTTTTTATATATTGTAAAATGAATCAAGATGTTTCTTATCGTCAGGGAATGCATGAACTTTTAGCCCCAATTCTATGGGTTATTGATAAAGAGAGTATTCCTAATTCTAGCGGATATGCGGTGGAAAATAGCGAAGATACGATAATCAAACAAACTTTAAATGCAGATTACGTTGAACATGATACTTTTGCCTTATTTTCTGCATTAATGAAATCAGCAAAAGAATATTATGAATACAATGATGAAATTTTCAACAAAAAGCCAGTAAAGGTACGATAGACCATTTAGACTAAACAGTATTATCTAATCAAGAATTTTATATTATTTTGGCTAACTTGGATCTAATAGCGTGCTCAAGGATCTGATCTTGAATACGCGAGATTAATCAAAAATAACCAAGCCGAGGTTTGTTTATTATAATTGTATAAGTTTTCCTATTTCACACGTCTAAAATCTATGCGAACTTTTTTATTTAAGGTCGCAAAAGCAACTCCTGTGTTCAGGAAATGTAATAAAATTTATGAATATCTTCAAATAATTGATCCTGAATTATATAAGCATTTAATTGATTTAGAAATTGAGCCTCAGCTTTATGGAATGTAGGTCTTTGACATATTTTATTTTATTTGGAAATATAATTAATTCCATTACCGTGTTACAAATATTTGCCAACATATAACATTACCATACTGTGAATTGTCACTGGGTAAACATATATATTTAGTTACAATATATTGCGAGTATGGTGGTAGAAATTCAATTGCTTTTATGAATGGGATAAATATAACTCTCTCTTGGTCGCAAATTTATACGAATTGTAGTAAGAAGCTAAGAGGCTAAATGTAATTCCTTTTATTACAGACGGTGGATAAGGTTACTTTTTGGCCGTGAATTTCCTTTGAATAAAGTTTTAATATTATGGGATGGAATATTTGCGGAGGATCCAGCTTTGAGGATAGTTGAATATGTATGCGTTGCAATGATGTTACTCATTCGTAACGAGTGTGAGTATTATTATTTTTATGCAGGATTGTCTAAAATCTAAAATTATGTCGTTTACAAATTTATTTTACTAATAATATATATAATAAATATAGTGCTAGATTCTGACTATACCGAATGTTTGAGTATGTTAATGCGCTATCCTCCAACATCAGACACAGAGGTGTTGATTAAGCAAGCAATATATCTTCGTGATCATTCAACACAGGAAGGTGGCACTTATATTCTTAAACAGAATGCATCTAGAACAGGTAAACCTCTCCCCGTACTAACTCCTAAAGAACCACAAGAAGGGTTTGTTCATTTAAAAAATGTATTAGATCGTAGTGCAGTAATAAATAAGGCAGTTATAAACGTATATGGTGAAGTAAAGGTTAGTGATATTTTGCAATCTCTTTCCAAATTTCCCTATTTGATGATTTTTTTTTTTTTTAGAAAAATGTACTTCGCAAACAAGATGGTCAACTTCGCACAGAGCATGACCGCTCTAGTTCTATAGATGTTTCACAAAGATATGCAAATCAACAAGTGTCAAATCATGTTGATCAATCAAGTTCAGAAGCTCAAAATATGTCATTTGAGGAATTTACAAAATTAAAAGAACAGAATCGACAGATAGCATTAGTAGTTCAAAAAAGTATAGAAATTCTCGAGCAAGAAATGTTGGGTAGGACTAAATCGAGAGAAATTACAAGTGCAACGGACGCAGAAAAAATTGAAAAAAGCTCTACTGATGGTTCCGAATCTCGATCGTCATTTGAATACATTTCAGGTAGTAATAATGAAGAATCGACGACTCATGAAATTTCTGTTCTTCACGCTTTACACGGTCTCAAGCATGTGAGAGATGTATTGAATGGCTCCATAAAAGAATTTAATTCACATATTATGGAAATAACATCCCATAATGGAGATGATCATGATCACTGGGAAGTAGTAGATGATGGTGTTAGTGTAGTTAGTGTAACTGGGACAGAGGATGAAACTGCATCTGTTACTAAAGAGATTCAGACGAAACAAGACAAGAGTCTAACTCCCACAAGTTCTTCTAACAATATCATAAAGACATCAGTCGTAGAAACAATTTCAACGAAACCTGCTGTTCAATCAATATCAACTTTACCTCTACAGTCGTCACCACCATCATCCACAAAAGTAACTCCCCAATTAAATCAGCAGTATTCTAGCGGAACTAGTTCTACTAGCATAAATACTTCAAACGAAAAGTCAAAAGTTACATCATCATATGCTACTAAGACTCCAAAACCTAAATCCAAACTTAAGTTAGAAGATATATTGAGTGATATTGATATGGAAAAGAGTGAAACGGGGACTGGAACGCCGAAATCTTCTATTGCATCAAATTCTAAATATAGTTGGATGATTGAAGGTTATACTGACGATGATGAAAACTCTCTATTTAACCCAAAGAGAGCAAGTATTGGTAGTTTTGATAGTTTATCTGGATTCTCATCTGATAAAATGAGCACTTTAGATTTTTCAAAAGATAATGATGCATTTAAATCAATTCCTACATCTAATCAAAGGAAGACAAGAAATTCAATGATTGTACCTCAAACTTCTTCATCGCTTTATTCCGAAAGAATTACATCAAAAAGTATAAATCAAGAAAATAATGTAAATATTGGGTCGACAAGTAGCCATATTGTTACGGCTACTAATACACCTGTTGTACCGGTTGATGACCCTTTGGGTGTTTCGTAGATTACAATTTGTATAGCACATGTATTTTTTTAGAAAAAAAAAAAAATTTTAAAAAAAAGTTTCTTATAAGATATTACGGATATTATAGTTTGTTGTAAATTTACATCATACCATTGTTTTTATTTACTGCCATAGTGCCATTATTCATCAAAATAAGGATAAATAAACTATTTATTGTTCTCAACTTTTAAATACAGAATATAGAGTTGATTTAAAATTATGAAATTAATTTTTATAAAGATTTACCAAAATTAATCTTGCATTAAAAATAATACACCGAAATTAAATATAAATATAAATGTACATTCAAAAGATTTAGAAAATTATCACGAAATAGTACAGCAGCTATTTGTCTGTGATAAAAATAATAAAAAAAAAATTAAAAAAATGATTTAATAATTTTATAATTCAAAATGACACTGACCTTTCTGGCTTGCTTATAAAATGCTTTGGACTGAAAAGAAATTTCTTGTGACCTATCTATCAAATCGTCCAATTTTTCTCCACGTTGCAAAAGGGATTCGATCGTTTTATTCTACAATAAGTAGAATATCAATATTAAATGTTTAAAGCTTATTTCAAATTCGATTTAGATAATATTGTTTTTTACCATGACTAGTTTAGTTTCATCCAATTGTTCTTGTACTTTTGTAATCTGATCTGCTTGCTTAGGATCTTGATACTTAATTAAATAAGTTTTCAATTCTGGAAAAGAGATTTTGTCTGGTTTGGACCAATCATTTGGCGGAAATTTTATGAGAAATTCATCAAGAATTTTGTTTAGCACAGAGAATGATACACGTTGTGGATACTCTTCATCCGTGACAATGACTCCTGTAAGATGAATGTCAGAACGTGCGTAAACATATCCTACATAAGCTATAAAATAATTTAATCAATTAGTATTAGAAAATTGTGAGATCCCTTCCTCCAAAAAGGTGCATACGCTGTTCTTCGACACGTTGTCTTTGACCAGGACTTGTTCTTTCTGCGATAGTTTTGGAAATTACCATAATAATATCTTGTACAGTACTACGCTGAAAGAAACCAAAACTGGAGAGATCATATTCTGCAGCCAAACGAATGGTTTCTTCGTTAGAATCTCGAGAGTAAATCGACACAGAGTAGATTTTCATGTTTGGACGATAAATTGCGGATAAATAATATATTTCTTTACAAAACTGAAGTAAAGTATACTTGATAACTGTATTTATAGTTTTTTTTGAATACCGCCCAGATATTACTGCGATTTTCAGCTCACTATTGTTGTACAACCAGCTTCATAATATTCTTCTCGTACGTCATAGTGTTTGATCCAAAACACTAGTCAAAATGTCTAGCAAGCCTCGCGGTCTAAATATTCGATTAGCTAATGCAATAAATGGGATCGAGAGAAGTATCTCCCCTTCTTCACCTAGAAAAGTTACTCGTGGTGGCTTAAAAGTCGAAGGAAAGTGGAACAATAATAGTGTTGGGAGGCCCTATACTCCCGATGAGGAAATTAGGGAAGCACCTGCTATTGATATGGTGGAATTTGCAGACGAAGAATTTAGACCTGAAGCATGTATGTTCATAGTATAGAAAGTATTAAAAATATGATTTATTCTTAATTATCAATTATTATATATAAGAATAATTGATAAATAAAGTTGCTAATAGACATCCAAAAAGCACTATCAAACGCCACAGAAGAAGGAGTAAGGTCTTTCTTAGGGACACTACGAGATTCAAAGGAGCTAGCAGCCAGCGATTTGCAAAGAAATGTGTATAAAAATTATAATGAATTCGTGGTGATATCCCAGGAGATATCAAATATCCTTTCTTTAAAATAAAGCGCAGATCATTAATGATTTCAGTATAAAGAGCTAAAAATTTTATGTGTCAGTTCATCCTTGACTCGTTAGTCAATATTTTACAATTAGAAAGTGATATGCTTGTATTACGCGGGCAATTGAATGAATTACGCAATGTCAGCGACAATTTAAGAGATGATAGTACAGAATCCATCAATATTGGGCCTGGTATGTTTTGAAGAAGAAAACTAATATATGTTATTTATTAACATGAAATTATATATAGTAACTTCAGTAACTTCGGAGCCAATTGTACCCAGAGGACGTAATCCGACCCTAAATAATGCTACTGATATGCAATCGATTTGGAAAGCACAAATTCAAGAATTATGGGCAGGTGTGGAAGGTGCTCAGGTTAATATCTTTTAAACCATTCGATTGAAATTTTAAAATATTACTTTTGATCCTATTATGACCTTAAATTTTTTATAATATATATTCTAGAATTTTGTCTCGTTAGAACCTGGAAGACATATACTTCGAGAATGTTCTAATTTTATCGAGATTAGTTTTAGTACAAATAAGCCGAAACAATCAGTGCATATTTTTCTATTAAATGATTGTCTATTGGTTGCTAGTAAAAAGAAACGTCAAGCTTCTAAAGATACATCAAAAGCCAAATTGGTTGCTGACCGTTGTTTTTCTTTAGAAGATATAACTCTAATTGATATGAAAGACACTGAAGGTTTGTTTAAAGTTAAAATTATTATTCATTAATAATATTTTCTTTTAAAAAATCTAAAATTTACTTGTTTTTATCAGAGCAAGTAAATTTTATTAAAATCCTAAAGCATCCGACGGATCAATTTATTTTCCAAGCTGGAAATGCCGATGAGAAAAAAAATTTGCTAAATATGACCAAACGCGCAACTGACGAAATGATGTCAGTCAAAGCCGTAAAACATGCAGGTACGTTTTTAAAAAATTTTTGCTTACAATATACTTAAATTAAAGTCTAATATATTGATTTAATTTACTAGATTCTGTCATAGCTGCAGTATGTACTATCAAAATTAATAAACGTACAATTTTTATAATAAATGTAAAATCTAATAATTATGAATTTTAAATATGGTAGGAATCACAACAACAACAACATACTCCACTTATTAGAACACTTTCGAGAAAAAAAAAAGGAACAATGGCACAATCTCTGAGATCAAGAAAATCTGTTCCAAAGTTGCCGACAAAGACTTTTACAATGAATGATATTCGTGAAATGGAAGATTTAGCTGATGAGTTAGATGTCCATATTGCAACGCGTGAATTTGAGCAAGCTGTTGAGAATATTGAAAAAGGTATATTGATATTTTATTATAGATATTACAGAACGTTTATTGATACAAGCATATATGTACAACATTATGAATTATAGCAAAGAATGCCCTAACTAATGTATCATCGCCTAATCCTGGAAAATTGGATACGATTCGTGCTAAAATGGAGGATCGCGTCGTTCGGCTATCTCTTGCTATTAGTCGTGATCTCTCAAATCCCGACGTGAAAAAGTCACATGTACAGAAATGTACACGATGGTTATTGCGTCTCGGATATGGGGAACAGGTAGTAAATTCAAAATTAATAAAATTAACAAAAATTTCGATTAAATCGTTAAACCTTAAATTTGATCTAGGCACGTGAATTGTTCCTTGTTGCAAGAACTGAAAACATTAGAATAAGAACAAAGTAAGCTTTAATTCGCGAAAAATGGTTTAATTCTTTCTAACATAATTTAATTATTTAGACAACTTAAATTCGAGGGGGATATACCACAATATATTAATGAATTATCATTAGTGTATTTTACCTTAGTTAAAAATACATGTGACTGGTATAATTCCGCTTTTAGAGATATGAGAATGGCTTCAGGTATACTATTGGGTTAGTTATCAATTCATTATAATAAAAATTAATTATTTTTGCTTTAACAGGTCTTGTCAAATGGGTACAAGAGGAGATGGAACATTATGCAAGTATGTTTAAACGACAAGTATACAGCTTACATAACCGTGAAGATAGCACTATACAAGAATGTTTAAGATATGCTAGAGAACATTGTTTAATGGTAAGTTAAAGGTGTATATTTTCACTTCTTAATATAAATTCTGGATAATATTTATATTTAATTTTTTTCTTAGTTACGCGAGGTTGGGTTGGATCTTAAATTTTTATTAGATAATCTACTACGATTTAACAAAAATAAAGATGATATTTCACAAGATTCCCGGCTTGAAAATGGTGAAATGGATACCGTTATTGAAGAAAATTAAACTCGTAGAATAGTAATAATTATTTTTCTTCTTGGACAATTTACAAGATATTTATAGAATAATAATTTAATTTATAATTTAATTTATCTCACTTATTTATTGTAAAATTCATTTCATATAAATTGTCCTTTTACTGCGCCATAATAAAATTTAGATACTTATTTTCAAGATTATTATAATCTATCTATCACAACTTGTAACTCTTCTTCGCTATAAATTCTAAATCCGTGTTCTTCTGTGACAGCAGCTAATTGAACATTTGTGTTGTTCAACTTTTCTTCCATTACCTGTTTCAAGACTTTTAATGATAAAGTTTCTGCTTCTTGCAAACTGAGAGACTGAAATCATAATATTATTATTTAGTATTATACAAATAAAATACGTAAATAAATTATATTAAAAATATTTACTTTATGATATTCTTCGTTTAATTCAGTTTGTGCACCTTCGGATCCAGACCCGATAGCTTTCGCGTCATATTGCATAAATGTTCCCGATGGATCTGCGTGATATCTTTTATTTATTTTATTTAATAAATAAAAATATTAAATAATTGTATAAAGAATAAATTTCTAAAGTTCAAAAATTTTCGCTTACAATTGAGGCCCTTTCTCATCGATACCGGCAATTAACAAGGCGACGCCAAAAGGTCTACTCTATTTAGAAAAAAGAAAAATGATAATAATAATTTTTTAGTAAACGTATAGATTTTGCGCGAAATACATAATTAATTTCAAACAAACTAACCATAATTGATTCTTCACCATGAGCACTCTCTCCGAATCTTAAAGCCAAATCGCAAACAGCTTGTGTAACGGATTCGACTTTAATTTTTTCATTATAAGTAAATCTGTGATTCTTTACAAACAATAAACGAGTATTTAATGTCGTTGAACAATCAAATTATATTTACGATTATGAATTATCTTTTAATATAAACCTGAGCTTCAATTCTGGCATGATCAATCATAGTGCGGGAGTCAGCAGTTAAACCACTCATAGCACACCCTAAATGCGAATCAATTTCCATAATCTTTTCGATGCTGCTCGATACTAATAATGGAGAAGTGACGCGTTTTTCAACAGCCAAGACGACACCATGAGAAGTTTGAATTCCTACTGCTGTGGAACCCAACTATTGAAAAAATTATATTGATAAAGTCGACTTCAAAAAGGAAGAAATAGAATAAACATTATTAAAAGGAATACCTTAATAGCTTCGATCGCGTACTCCACCTGAAATAAACGTCCCTCAGGTGAAAAAGTATTTACTCCGCGATCGTATTCAGATCTCGTTAAAAACATGATGAAAGTTAGATGTTGAAAAATGATCGACGAAACTTTTTTTATAATTTGGGCCTGTGTAACAAGTTCAGCATTACGTACGGTATAACGCAAACAGATTGTGTCCCATCTGCATTATAAAATTTTTTGATGAAAATAAATGATATATTTTAAATCATGATAAAAATAATACCGCTTGGTGCAGGTCAAGATGTTGGACGTAGCTGTATTCTTATATCCATTGGTGATGATAGTACAGGAATAAAAAATTTAATGTTTGATTGTGGAATGCACATGGGATACAATGACGAAAGAAGATTTCCGGATTTTTCATATATTTCTAAAACAAACCGATTCACAGAACAATTAGATTGTATTATAGTAAGCCATTTTCATTTGGATCATTGTGGTAAATATTTGGTAAATAAGATTTATTATATGTTTTTTTTTTTTTTTACAATTTAAATTAATTGATATTTATTCTTTTAAATTTCATAGGTGCTTTGCCATATTTTACTGAAATGTGTGGATATGAAGGACCTATTTTTATGACACATCCAACTAAAGCTATTTGTCCCATTTTACTTGAAGATTATCGAAAAATTACTGTTGAAAGAAAAGGAGAAACGAATTTTTTTACATCTCAAATGATTAAAGATTGTATGAAGAAGGTTACTGCTGTCAATCTTCATCAAACAATTAAAGTTAATGGTGATGATGATTTGGAAATTAAAGCATTTTATGCTGGACACGTTTTAGGAGCGGCTATGTTTTATGTACGAGTAGGTACACAATCAGTAGTTTATACTGGTGATTATAACATGACTCCTGACCGACATTTGGGTGCAGCATGGATCGATAAAGTACGTCCAGACTTGTTAATAACAGAATCAACTTATGCCACAACTATTCGCGATTCTAAAAGAACACGTGAGCGTGATTTTTTGAAAAAAGTTCATGATTGTGTCACACAAGGAGGCAAAGTTCTTATACCAGTCTTTGCTCTTGGACGTGCTCAAGAACTTTGTATCTTAATTGAAACATATTGGGAGAGAAATAATCTTAATGTACCCGTATATTTTTCTGCTGGTATGACCGAAAAAGCCAATGATTATTATAAACTTTTTATTAATTGGACAAATGAGAAAATAAAAAATACTTTTGTTCAACGAAACATGTTTGATTTTAAACATATCAAACCTTGGGATAGACAATATTTGGATTTACCAGGTCCTGCAGTTTTATTTGCTACTCCTGGTATGTTACATATTGGTACATCTTTGGAAGTCTTTAAAAAGTGGGCACCATATCCAGAAAATATGGTAATAATGCCTGGATATTGTGTAGCAGGTACTGTTGGAGCTAAAGTTCTTAATGGGGATAAAGAAATTTATATAGATGCATATAATAAGATAAATGTAAAGTTACAAGTAAAAAATTTATCATTCAGTGCACATGCAGATGCTAAGGGAATTTTACAACTTATAAAGCAATGTGATCCAAAAAATGTAATGTTAGTTCATGGAGAAAAAGCAAAGATGGAATTTTTACAGGAAAAAATTAAACGAGAATGTCGAATACCATGTTATTCACCAGCTAATGGAGAAACAACAATTATTGATACACCACTTTCTATACCAGTTGATGTTTCTGTTGATTTACTTAAACGTCATTTAACAGCACAAAAACTTCCTTTACCCACATCAGATGATAAAATTGATATCACAAAGATCAAACCAGTGAATGGAATTCCTATACAAGGTATTTTGACGATGGAACCTGATCAAATACCAAAATTAATGGATGTAAACGAAGCGATAAGGGATACAAATTTACCATTACGTGAGTTAACATTTGAATTTATTAAATCATTTGATCCGAATAAGATTGATACTTCAACTCGAACTGATATTCGCACTCAAGCTTTGGAAAATGTATATGAAAAAGTGAGAAAAGCTCTTAAAGATGATGTGAATGAAGTTGAAATAATTAAGAATTCATCACAGATAAAAATAAGAAGCATGTTAATAAGAATATCTGATAAAAATTCCAACTCTTTTAATATTTCATGGAATTATAAAGATGAGAATTTGGCGAATTATGTGATGTCAATAATTGATAATATTCTTCCTGAATGAATGTTGGAATGTATGTATATATATATATGTACATAACAAATATATAAAAACACATTGTATGTATTTTATATGAATTATTATTATTTACATTTTAATAAAATTTTAAAATTTTTGATGAGCAATACTCTTTTTTTTTTTGATTGTAGATCATGCATATACATTATAAGAAGATATCAATCAACAAATTCGAAAAAAAACAAAAATTCTGGGAAACTGAAAATAGAAATAAATCTGCAGATTGACCAGCTTTTATATAATACACTAAAAAAAATAATATCGGACAATCTCTGACCGAAATTAAAAAGTGATGGTAAATCATATTATCTATGATGTTAACCTAAATTAAATTTTTATAATATATTACACTCTTGATTTTTGTTTTCTTATAGTAATAATGAATTATAAAACTTACCATTCTTATATTAGCTTTAAATTGTGACAATTTTAAAATTTGGAAAGGTTTTATAGATATTAGAATTGACTAATTATCGTCACCCCACAAGTTTTTAAATTTCATACTACCGCATTTTACCGATTAGCTAAAAAACTTGGTGTTAGTATTTGGAACATATTTTTATTAAATACATATAATTGCATTTAACGAAACGTATTTGATTTTAATCTATAAATAGAAATAAGATCTAATGAATAATTCACGAGAATGTACCAGTACAATGAAAAACGAATATGAAATGAATATGTATATGGACGGAACAAGTCGTAATATTATATATATATAATATATTGTGAAACTTTCTCACACATAATTTTATAAATGAATATACATATAAATCAATCAAATACTTAATTAATTAATTCATCTTAATATAATGGTTTTTTATGATTATTGAGAATCCAAATACAGTAATATTTTATCATATTAATTCAGGTACATATCATTAGGTCATAATTTCTTTTTCAAGAAAATGGAGTTTTTAGGATTTCTTTCTCATCAAAAAAAAAAAAAAAATATTATTACATAAACAAAGAATTTTATTAATAATTTAATTTTGAGTTTGTTTCTTATGACATCTTTGAAAAACAACAATGTTCTTAAAAGTATGAGATGCTTTCCATATGTTACACAATCTAGAATCATTACTAATCAAATTTCACAGGATGGAGGTGAGAACATTTTATCTACTTTAGAAAACGATTCCCTATTTTTAATCTAGAAGCTGCGAAAAAATCACGTGAAAGCGAAATATCAGTTTTTTTTTTTTACGATATATTAAATTTGTAAGTTTTTTTTTTTAAAAAAAAAAA